GGGGGGGGCACTGGCTGCGCCCCAGCAGGGGCGGAGGGCGGCTGCAGCAGGAGGGAACGAGGGCAGACGCGAGGGAGAACTTCCCACCCACATGCCGCGTCCCCGCTTCCGCAGCCTCGCTCTACACCAGCAGCGCCCAGCGCTCGCGCTCCAACTCCTTCGGCGAGCGCCCCGGCGTTGCGGGAGGCGGGGGCGGCGGTAGCGGGGGCGCCCGGAGAGTCCGCGCCCTCGTCTCCCACTCGGAGGGCGCCAACCACACGCTGCTGCGCTTCTCTGCCGGAGACGTCGTGGAGGTGCTAGTACCCGAGGCCCAGAACGGCTGGCTCTATGGCAAGCTGGAGGGGTCATCCACGTGAGTGGGAGCCTGGAGGCGCAGGGTGCGGGGTGGGTGATGAGGAGGGCCCGGGACGCCTGGACTCCAGCTCCGACTGAGATTTCCCTTCCTCTCTCTTTGAAATAAAAAGTAAATAAATAAAAGCTAAGGAACATCGATCATAGCGCCTCTCCCTCAACACCGGCTGCTTTGAAGGTGCAGTCATGAGCCTCCAGCCTCACAAAGTCCAAAAGCAGGGTGCCCAGGGTCACTAGAACGGGAGGGCAACAGCTGGGCTGAGAAGGAAAGAGCACTGGCTTAGGAGTCAGGCATCCTGGGCTTGGGCGCCCCTTCCTCTGGACTCCTGCAGTTGCCGTGGACCCCTGCCCTTTGCCATCACCCTTGCAGTCTGTTTGCGGGTGCATCTCCCTGCCAGGCTAGGAACCTCTGGGGAGCAGGACTGTGCCTGGCTTTCTGGGCCCTCACATGGTGGGGGATTAGTGAGCAGGGAATGAAGTGGTGATCCTATGTCCTTGGACGCATTGCTTTCCTTCTCTGGCTTCCAGTTCCTTCTTTTAAGGTGCCCCAGCCTTTGGTGGAACATGAGGTTGGTCTGGTGGCCTTAAATGCCGAGAAAGACCTCCTTCAAGGGATTAAATGAATCACTCTCTGCAAAGCCCCTGGAGCAAGCCGGCCCCAGCAGTGCCCAGTGGTTGTGTGCTCCTCTTAGAAGTGGGGTTGGACCACTGTTGTTAGGCCTTTTGCTTAAGGGACCCTCTGCTTCCGCCCTGCAGGAGCGGCTGGTTTCCCGAGGCCTATGTGAAGCCATTGGAGGAGGTGCCTATGAACCCCATGAACTCCTTGAACCCCGTGACCTCTGTGAACCCCATGAACGCCTTGAACCCTGTGACCTCCATGAACCCCATGAGCCCTATGAATGAGCTACCATCCAGGTACCTGGGTGGTCAGAGTCAGGGCAGGGTTGGGGACTCCAGTGGGGTGTGGTCCCATCCATCAGGGGGGCCTCTGTGAGTTGCAGTCCTGAGTGGGCCCAGCCCCCTTTAGCCTCTGGAGAAAGGCACCCCATCTCTCTAACTGAAGGCCATTGTGTCTGTCCCTCTGCCTCCTCTCACCCAGGCGCAGGGGAGGAGGCCGGAGGGTGCTCAGGGGCCCAGCAGATGGGGCCTGACCCCTGACCCCCTTCCCTCCCCTCCTTTCTCTGGACTCAGGTCCTACCCGCTCCGGGGCAGCCACAGCCTAGATGACCTCCTGGACCGGCCAGGCAACTCCACAGCGTCCTTAGAGTACTGGGACGGCCAGTCCCGCTCCCGAACTCCAAGCCGGGTCCCGAGCCGTGCCCCCAGCCCTGCACCTACACCCTTGCCTGGCAGCCGCCGAAGTAGCATGGGCAGCATGGGGGTGGCCAGTGACGTCAAGGTGAGCCCTCTCCCCCAGGCTGTCCTCAACCCTGGGGTCGTCCAGTGGGCAGGGAGACTGGAGACCAGGTAACCCTCTCTGCTTTGCCACTGTGTCTGGCAGGGGACCCTCTCACCCGGCCTCAATCTGCCCATCTGTGCAGGGAGGGGTGGGATGGGCTTCTGACTCCTGGTGGGGGGGAGTATTTATCACTGGGACTAGAGCCCCAGGTGCCCTGCTGGGAGCACTGGAATAGGCCTGTCCTCCCTGCCTCCCCAAGGAGGCCAAACCAGGGTCCTGGGTCAGACCTGGGCTGGGGCAGGCTGGGGCGGGGTAGAGGGCACAGGGAACACCTCCCCATGGGGTCACCCCAGTCTTGTTCTGGGGGGGGTTATCCCTGGAGATGGTGCTCTAGCCTAGAGGTTTCTTGAGTCTGAACCCCACAGAACTCTGGGCTTCAGAAGGCCAGGGCTGCATTTTCCAGAGGCCTGGCACTGCCCGGGCCTCCAGTCCAGTCCTCCTAGGAGGACGGCAGGAGCTTGCTTGCCCCTTCCCACCCCAAACTTGGCCCTTCTTCCATCCCCACTGCAGAAACTCATGTCCTGGGAGCAGAACCCCCCTGAGCTCTTCCCTCGGTGAGTTCTGGAGCAGGACTGGGCCAGAGGGGACTGGGCTCAGTGGAAGGAGACACGGTGGGGGGTGAGTGGAGATGACTTGATGGGGACAGGAGGCAGGGGTGGACACCTGGCTCAGGTGTCCAGCTGCCTTCCCTGGACCCACAGCCAACTAGAGTCCTGGTCCCCCCTCTTTGACCTCTCCCTCAACAGGGGCACAAATCCCTTTGCCACCGTAAAGCTGCGTCCCACTGTCACCAATGACCGCTCAGCGCCCCTCATCCGCTGAGGCACCTTCCTCCACCAGGGGTCTGAGGTCGCCCCGCCACCTGCCCAGAGGCTGCCCAGAGCTGGCAGGAGCAGAAGCAGCAGCAGTGGATCCAAGAAGCTGGGGCCCTGATACTGGGGGGTGCCCTTCCCCTAACCAAGCCCCCAGCCTGAGCAGCCCCAAGGGCCCTGGCATGGGGTCTGGGACCTTCCAAATAAAGCAGGCAGAATGGGGGACAGAACCGTTTCTTCCCCTCCAGGGGCTCCAGGACTCTCCCTGGGGGCCTATCTCACGCCCCCAACCTTTTTCCCCCTTCACCCTAGTGGGGAGGAGTCCCTGACACCTCCCCTCCCCCAATCCACATGTCCCCGGTTAACTTTTGTAAACAATGAGAAATAAAGCAAGCGGACACGCAGCAGGACTGGTGGTCTCATCTGGGGGCTGGGTGGGTTTGCAGGACTGGTGGACTCTAACCTGGGGGCTGGGCAGGGTCAGGATGGAGACCTCCCACTGGAGAATGGGGTCACTGGCAGGTACCTGGGAGGCTTCACTCACCCCAGCCCCTCACCTCCCTCGTTTCAGCAAGTCTCTAGGACCACCCTAAAGCTCTCCCCTCTACTCCCCATCTGCAGCCCTCAGGAAGTAGTTGCCTCTTCAGAGGAGAAGGGGTGGCAGTGGCCAAGGTCCCGAACCATCAGCAGGTCACCCTCCAGTGGCCTGGGACACAGCACCCTTTGTTTCGCACCCCTGACCCCCTCAGTCCCAGGCTCTCCTGGATTAGCCTTATCCAAGGGAAAACAGAGCCCTTCCTGGCATTTGGCCTGGGGGTGGAGGGCAGGCAAGGAACTGAGGTGATTGGGGCCTGATGGAGTGTCTACAGAGCAGGGCTGCGCCCCCAGCTCCACGAGGACCCCCAGCACAGGGCTCTGTGTGTCCACCTGAGGCTCCAGAACACAGAAGGGTCTCCTTATCTGTCTAGCTCTCCCTGGGCAGGCCTGGGGCCCCAAGGTTGGTCTTTGCCCTGTCGCTTCTCCCCTCCCAGGCAAAAGCCTCTTAGAGGGGTGGGGGTGGGGAACACTCTAAGCCCCAGGCCTGGGGAAGAGCTGTTGGGGTGAGAGCCAGGCCAGTGGCTGATCTGCAGTCAAGCCTGGGAGTCAGCTGCACCTCCCCACCCCCATCAGACCAGGGGGATCTGATGGGGCTGCCCCTCCCTGCGGGCCTCAGATGTGAAGCTGGACACCCAAACCCACAGGGCGGCTCTGGTGAGTGTGGGGCGAGGGCCAGGTACCACCCTCTTGTCTCATGATGAGAGGACTACAGGCAGGAAAAGCCAGACCTGGTCCTGGTGGGGAAGGGGCAGAGGCCCAGACACCCACAGGTCCCTCGGCATTGCCCAATGCCAGGAGGGAGACCCGGGCAAGGAGGGGCTGCAGGAGGGAGGGAGGCTCCTGCCCAGCTGAAGGCTGGTCCATCCTGCCTCTGAGGCCCACCCCCCTCACCTATTCTGGGGGCGTACGCAGCTGCTGTGTGAACCCCTGGGCTGAGCTCCCTTCTGCATGTGTAGGGGTAGGAGAGGCTGTTAGGGGTTTAGAGGGCGGTAGGTCTCTCTCCTGGTGCCCCTCAAAGGTCCCCACCTGTCCAGTGAGCCAGAGCTCCAATCCTCACCCCAAGATCCCCTGCTGGCCTGGAGTGATCAATCACCTTACAGGTTGGGAAACTGAGGCTCAGTGAGGGGAAGGGACCTGTCCAGGTCACAGAGCAAATCCATGGCTGAGCTGGGATGAACTGGAGCTCAGCTCCTTTGGCTTCTGAGACAAGGCTAATGTTCTGTTATAAAGGCATTCTTGTCCCCCCAACCCATAATATTCTAATGACAACAGTCACTCCTGATCACTGAGAAAACTTAGTAACATACCACAAGGCCAAGGAGAGAAATAAACCACCCATCTTGCTGCTGGTGCTGTCTCCTCCCTCCCCCATGTTTGTTCCTTTGTCCAGAGACCCTCAGACATGCACACTGGGGACACTGGTGGTCCCCACCCGCACGTGGGGTCACACACTGGTTGCCAGGCTATCCTGCTCACCAGCACCCCCTCTCCTGCACCACTAGGTCCTGAAGAGCAAGGGGTCCCCTCCAGAGGAAGCTCCCTGCGGTGGACTCAGGTGGGAAGGACTCTCTTACCCTCCCCTCATCCTCACGTGCCCCTTGGAGCAGGGGGAACATGGGGTGAGGTTCTCACCACTCTTCCCCCCCTGGCTTCATTCCCTGCGCAGGGCTCACGTGGATAGGCCTGTGCCTCAGTCTCTCCACGCTGGGTCCCCACCCCCTTCCCTGTCTGGGTTAGACCCTTGCTACCCCCTCCTGTCTCCTTTCCCTCCAGCAGAGGCGGTGGCCATGGGCGCTGGTGGCCCCCGGCGGGGCGAGGACCCCCCAGACGGCGGCTGGGGCTGGGCGGTGCTGGGAGCCTGCTTCGTGGTCACCGGCTTCGCCTACGGCTTCCCCAAGGCCGTGAGCGTCTTCTTCCGGGCGCTCATGCGGGACTTCGGGGCGGGCTACAGCGACACAGCCTGGGTGTCCTCCATCATGCTCGCCATGCTCTACGGCACCGGTCAGCGGCCCGCCCGGGGCTGGGGTGGGATTAGGGACCAGGAGATGCCCGATGCCCTGAGCATCCGCGGGGCCTCTGGGGACAGGCAGGGAAGCCCTTCCTTCCCGAGGAAACGCTGGCACCAGGGAGAGGGGAGGAGAGGACAGGAAACGGGCAGTGGAGCCGGCACCCAGGTGACCGTCCTCGCCAGCCTGGGCCCCACCATTCCTGCCCCAAACACCTGCCTATGGTGAAGGTGAGGAAACTGGGATCTAAGTGAGATTCCAGCTCCCCCAAACCCCAACCACCTGCAGAGATGGGGGCGGAGTTGGAGTTATCCTGGCCAAGCAGAGTGGGGGGTGGGGGAGCCCGGGAGCACGGCAGCCCAGGCCCGGGTTCCAGGCTGCAAAGATAAAAGGGAGTGGGGTCTGCAGCCTTCTGCTTTGGGCTCCTTGTCCTCAGAAGGCGTGCGGATGGGGGGCTCTGGGCCAGGACAGGTCCCTCCCCCTGAGTATCCACAGACACTGTCTCCTCAGTTTGTCCCAGCCAAGCTGTGTGACCCTAGCTGGACACTGCCCTCTCTGGGCCCTGAGCCAGGGGTGAACTTACCCCTTTGAGCCGCCTCCCAGGGCTGGGAGGTGCAAGAGCCTGGAGAGTGGCCCCCAGAGAGGAGACTGGACCAGCCCGGGTGGTGACTCTGCCCTGCCCGCAGGCCCGGTGTCCAGCATCCTCGTGGCCCGCTTTGGCTGCCGCCCGGTGATGCTGGTGGGTGGGCTGCTGGCCTCGGCGGGCATGGTCCTAGCATCCTTCGCCACGCGCCTCCTGGAGCTGTACCTGACGGCCGGGGTGCTGACCGGTGAGGGCGCCCGCTGCTCTCCCCTGCGGGGCTGCGGGGGGCCTGGGCGTCCCTGCTGCAAGAACCCCTGTCCTCAGTTTCCCCCCAAGGAGCTGTCCTCCAAATCCCTCTGCTCAGTGCCCTGGGGATCGGGCCGCCCGGGGGGCCTCGCGCCCCTCCCCTGTGGGGTGGGGGCCGGGAGCCTGGCACAGCGCCCCCTCGCCCGCAGGCCTGGGCCTGGCCCTCAACTTCCAGCCATCGCTCGTCATGCTGGGGCTGTACTTCGACCGGCGGCGGCCTCTGGCCAACGGGCTGGCGGCGGCGGGCAGCCCCGTGTTCCTG